AGATAGATAGATAGATAGATAGATAGATAGATAGATAGATAGATAGATAGATAGATACGTTGAGACTCCAGAAAGAGTACAGAGAAAAGCAACAAAGATGATGGAAGCTAAGACATGAAGAACGGTTGCAGGAACTGGGTATGTCTAGTTTAGTGAAGAGGAGGATTAGGGTGGGCACGATGGCAGACTACCAATATTTGAGACAGATGCCTGGAATAATCTGTAATAAAATCAACACATTTTTTGGCACACGGGATCCCTTGGCTTCTAGGGTATTGTATGGCTTACATGGTTAAAAAGAAACCGGAAGATTTAGAAGGCAGGAATTTCAAACCTTGTTGACATAGTAAATTGGCTTCAGGCTTTCCTTTCTTTAAAAAATTGTGTTAGGGTGAAAAGGTAGCCCTCTTCTCTCTGGCCCTTATGATTTTGCAAAGTTTAACAGATTAACAGAATTAGAAGAGAACTTGTAGGCAGGGCTGGGCTGCGGGGGGTTTGCAGGGGTTCAGGGGAGCCCCTAGCTCAGTGGTCCCCAACCTTTTTTGTGCCATGGCCCGGTACCGGCATCACAAAATGATCCGCGGCCCGGTACCAGCATCAGCACGCATGACAAGGCAAGGCGAGCCAAGCGACCGGCCAGCCAGCCGTCCTCCGCTTCTCCCCACCACCTTCAACTCCTCCTTTGTACCTTTGTCGATGGGCTTCGCTTTGGGACGGCTTTGGGATGGTCGCTCAGCTCGCCTTGCCTTGGGTGCTGAAAGAATCCTCGCACCTTAGTTTCGTTTGAAGCCCCCACTTTGATGAAACTAAGGCGCGAGGATTCCTTCAGGACCCAAACGCCGCTTTCCAACCGGAAAAGCTCACCCGGAAGCACTTTCTTGTCAAAAAAGATGGCGGCGCCCAGCAAACCGGTGGCCCAGTAGGAAATGTTCCACGGACCGGGACCGGTCCGCAGCCCGGTGGTTGGGGACCCCTGCCCTAGCTAACCTGTGCAGTTCAGAGAACGCCCACATCCCATTCCTGGCTGTCTCACCCCACCCCTCCCCTCCCAAGTAGTCCCCCATACGGACCGTTTTGGATGCAGGTAAGTGCAGGGGGCTGCGGAGGCTCGGGAAGGGCGAAAAACAGGCCTCCCGGACAGTGGCGGGATTCAAATAATTTAACAACCGGTTCTCCCCCCCTAATGATTTCATCCAACAACCAGTTCATCCAACTGCTCAGAAAGTTAACGACTGGTTCTCCCGAACTGGTAGAAACTGGTTGAATCCCACCACTGCTCCCAGAAGTTCGGGAAGGCCGGAAATAGGCCCGTTTCCAGCTTCCAGAGAGCCTTTGGAGACCTGGGAGGCCGTTTTCATCCTCCCAGAGGCTCGAAGAAAGCCTCCGGAGCCCAGGGAGAGCAAAAACGCCTCCCCCACCGTAGTGCAGGAGGCTGACTACGCCACGCCCGCCATGGCCACACCCACCAAGCAACCGGGCAGAGAACCTTTGCTAAAAATTTGGAAGCCCACCCCACTGCTTGTGGGTCACCTCATCGAACCCCACACCCAAACAGGAGACCTTCCACCATTTCTGACAGATGGCAGTCCAGTCTCTTCCTGAAAGCCCCCACAACTTCCAAGGGAAACTTTTGTTCCACGGGTTGATTGTTCTCCCTGTCAGAAAGTTTCTCTTTATTTCTCCTCGTTCAGTTTCCATCCATTGTTCCTTGTCTGGCCTTCGGGTGCTTTGGAAAACAGGTTGACTCCCCCTTTTCTCTGTGGCAGCCCCTCAAATTTGGGAAGACTGCTATCCTGTCTCCCCTGGTCCTTCTTTTCACTTGAAAAGGGACACTGGGAATATGGTCCAAGATCTATTTTAAGGGGGAGAGGGACTGAATTTGGAACTCTCAAGGGTAAAGAGACCAAAGTTGATCCTTGCTAGCTCTTACAGGTAGTCCTCGACTTACGATCACAATTGAGCCCAAAATTTCTGTTACTATATGAGACATTGGTTGAGTTTTGCCACGTTTCAGGAACTTTCCATGGTTATTAAGTGGTTCACTGCAGTTGTTAAGTTAGTAAACACGGTTGTTAAGGGGCTTCCCCGTTGACTTGGCTTGTCAGAAGATTGCCAAAGGGGAACACGTGACCCCGACCCCGGGACACGGCAACTGTCATAAATATGAGTCAATTGCCAAGCCTCTGAATTTTGATCACATCACCCTGCGGAAGTTGCGATGGTCCTAAGTGTGAAAAACGGTCATAAGTCATTTTTTTTCTAGTGCTGTTGTATCTTTGAATGGTTGTAAGTCAAGGACTGCCTATGCTGTCTGAAACAGAATCCAAATGAGATCCACCATGCTTTGCAAGATCCAAAATATTCTAAGACGGGGTTTGCCGTGACCCGTAATTCCAGGAGAACTTGATAGGCCAAAATCATCATCGTCGTCATCCATTCAAACAACCATGTCTTTCTGCTTCTTGATCAAACGTTTCAAGAAATTATTCACAGCTCAGGAGTGACGTGTGATGTTCATGAGGTCCTCTGAGCTTGGTTGTTTTCTTGCAGATGTTTCATGAGCCAACTAGATAACGTCATCAGTGCTAGAAAGCGGGTGGGGTTTGCTGTCTATTGATGTACCAATTCCTTGCCCTGTCAGCGTTGGTAGCAGAGTTCTTGGTGTTTCCTTGACTAGGTTGTTGTTTACCCTTTGATTGTTTATCTGAATTGGTACTGGGTTTCCCCCAAAATAAGACTCTTATATATATATTTTGCCACCAAAGAAGGCACCAGGTCTTATTTTCAAGGGATGTCATCCACTAACTAACCTCACTTGCATGCATTGCCCCCGGCCTCCTTTTCGCTGTCAGAGGCCTTCAGGAACTTCTTCTGTGGCTGGCAAGGCTTTCCTGAAGGCCTCTGCAGTGGACAACAGAACTCTGGATGGATCCAGAGTTTATTTATCACCTACAAAGGCCTTATGGAAAGCCTTGCCAGCCTTGCCGGCTGCAGAAGAAATGGGCCGGCAAGGCAGATGTCAGGGTGTGCGAGGCCTGGCTACAACTGTCCAAAGGTAAGTAGTAGGGCAGCTCCACCACCTCCATCCCCACCCTAGCTTAATTTTTAACCCATCCACTCTGAAGTGTGTGGGATCTTAATTAGTGCTTATTTTGGGGTTAGGGCTTATATTGAGCGCATGTGTTAAAATCAAGCTAAGACTGACTTTAGGGGTAGGTCATTTTCGGAGAAACGGGGTATTTGATTGGGGTACATCTTGATTGTTGGTCTAGTGCTAATCTTTGGGTTAATCTCTGCTCATCTGGTTATTGATTGCTGGTGAGAAGCATTTTGGTCCACTAAAGGTTTTGAAGATCACTTCTACCAACACTCACAAGGCAAATCCCAAGTATATAAACAGCAAACCCCACTGCCTTCTATCACTGATGATATTACCCAGTTTGGGTGAATAGGATAAACCAGAACCGAGCTGATGTACGATGGCTCCCTCTGCACCTCCTGAACTGTTTAACTAGGCGAGATGGGCAGCAGGCAAGTCGGATGGATGGATGGAGAGGAGACAGACTGACCACAGATAGATAGATGAGAGAGAGAGAGAGAGAGAGAGAGAGAGAGAGAGAGAGAGAGAGAGAGGCAGGCAGGTGATAATAGATACCATAGATAGATAGATATAGAAGATAATAGATAATGGTAGATAGATCGATAGATACAGAGAT